ATGGTTTTATAAGAAGAGGAAGAGAGACCTGAGCTAGCGCACTAGCACACTCAGTCCCCTCACAATGTGATAGCCTGCACCACCTCGAGACTCCGGAGAGAGTCCCCACCAGCAAGAAGGCCCTCACCAGATGCAGCCCCTCAATCTTGTACCTCTCAGCCTCCATATCTGTAAGAAATAAATACCTTTCTTTTATAAATTACCCCATTTCAGTTCTTCTGTTATAAACAACAGAAAAGGGACTAAGACAATATTCCATTTTGTGTTTTCCTTTTTCCAATAATATGCTTGTTCAGATCCATCCATATTTCTATGTATACATCGAATTCATTGCTGTTAATTGGTACCTAATACTCCATGGTGTGGGTGCACCTAGCCCTCCTTCCTCCCATCCAGCTTGCTTCCAACTCCCACAAATGAACAGCACTGTAGTGAACAGCCCCGTACAATGAACAGGTCCCTTAAGTAGCTGTGTGAGAACTACTAAGGGATATATATGTGGGAAATTGTGGGGTCACAGGATATACGTATAAATAATCTGGCAAAATAGTACCAGATTACTCTTGACATGCTAGCTGCACAGTTCCTCCACCTCAGGATTTCTCAGCCTTGACCCTATTACCCTTCGGAGCTGGATAATTCTTGGTTGTGGGGAAATACCCTGTGGACTGTAGGATGTTTAGCAGCATTCCTGGCCTCTATCCACCGAATGCCAGTAGCACCTCCCTCCCCAGCTGTAACAATAAAAAATGTCCCCTGACACTGCCAAATACCCTCTGGGGTGGGGGAAGTCTCTGCAGTTGAGAACCACTGCTTTATCCCATTTTTGCCAAAACTTGGCATGATACAGCTCTCTATTTTATTTTCTCTACCAGTTATTTTTAGCACCTTTTCATAGACTGACGGTCTTTAGGATTTTCTCTGTTAATTTTCCATTGAGATCACTGACCTCCTTTTGTTAATTTACAGGAGTGCCCTCTATGTTCTTGATGCTTGTGCTTTATCGGAATTGACATAGCAAACATCTTCTCCATTCTCTCAGCTAATTAACTCTATCCATCTTCACTGATAAAAATCTAAACTTTTATGTAATCAGGTTGTTTTGCTTTATGGTTTGTGCTTTTGAAGTTTTATTAAGGACCTTTCTTGCCCTAAGTCACAAGCTTTTTTCCTCTATTAGCTTTACAGTTTTACCTATGACAATCTGGTCTTTAATCCATAGAACTCACCTTCTACATAGTGTGGGGTAGGAACCCACATTTACATCTCTCTGTGCAAATTCATCCACCCATATAGTGAGAATCCTTCCTGTCCCCTGCCAGTTTGTGGTGCCATTTTGATTGTAAATCAGGTTCCCAAAGACACATGGCTTTGTCCCTGAGCTCTCCATCCTGTTTCATTCCTCCAGTTGTCTGTTCTTGCACCAATACCCACAAACTGTAATTCCATGGCCCTGTAACATGCTTTCATCACAGAGCAAGCCACCCCTCCCTCACTTCTTTAGTGAACTAGTTCTGTGTTTGTAACTTAATTTATCTGATTTCTCAAAACTATCCAACTGGAATTTTTATTGAAGTTGCACTAACTCTCAGGAGGCTGAGGCAGGAGAATGGTGTGAACCCAGGAGGCGGAGCTTGCAGTGAGCCGAGATCGCATCACTGCACTCCAGCCTGGGCGACAGAGCGAGACTCTGCCTCAAAAAAGAAAAAAAAAAAAAAAAAGAATAAAAGAAAAAAAGTTGCACTAACTTTATGAAATTATTTGGGAAGTAACTTTTCAAATATTGTTACCCATCCAAGATTAATCAGATCTTCTTCTAATTTTTCTATTTAACTTTTAGAGTTTTCCTTAAAGAAGTGTGTGCGCTTACATTGACTCCTGGACGCTGTATTTGTGCCTGCCATTATGAGGGGTATTTTTTTGTTTCTAGTTCAAATTGCTGCTTGTTAGGAACTGAATTGTCCCTCCTCCACCCCAAATTCCTTTATGTTGAAGTCCTAACCCCCAATATCTCAGAATGTGACTATTTGGAGTCTGGGCCATCAGACAGGTAATTAAGTTACAATGGGGTGGCTAGGGTGGGTCCTAATCCAGTACGACTGATGTCCTTATAAGAAGAGATTTGGACACAGCACAGACTGAGGAACAACCTTGGTGAGGACACAGCAGGAAGAGGGGCCTCAGAAACCAACCCTGCTGACATTTTTATCTCGAATTTCCAGCCTCCAGAACTGTGAGAAAATAAGCCTCTGTCGAAGCCACCCAGCCAGTGGCATTTTGTTATGCCTCCCTAGCAAACCAATACCCTGCTCTTAATTTTAAAAGTTTATCTTATATCCAGGGTTGCCCACTTGTTTTCTACCCAAGTTTGGGTGTGATTCAGAATCACTGATTTCCTCCTAGGGAGCTCCCTGTTGGTACCCATGTTCACAGAAAGCTGGCAAGTTCATCAGAAGACTGCCTTGGAACAAAAAAAAAAAACTGCCAGAAAAGGCCACGAATAGTCCCACCCCGCAACAACTAGCATTCTTGCACCCCCGGATTCAGCATTTTCCCTCCCTGGCTGCGAAGTGCTGAATACACCCAGGTAGGTTTGGCCTCTATGTTAGCGGCTCCTCCCTCTTGCATAGAAACACTTTTTTAAAAGATGTGTTAATAACACATACTCAGTTACTGCCAAACCTAGAAGCTTGTTTTGTTTCCTCTCATAATGTGTAGATAGAATCATCCAACACTGACGACCCACAAACTTCATCACAAATACTATATGCTACTAAGTCGGCAGGTGCAATTACTCACTCTCTCAGAAATCTCCAGTCCCGAAAGCAGCAAGGTCCCACTGTGCATAAGTTAGGAGAAGTCTGCCAACCTAAGTCAGCATTTTTCACCATTTTTAGCCTTAAAAGCTTATTTAATATGGGAAATTGACATCTCCTTAATCTAAAGTTGGTAATTTACCATCTACACTTTAACGAATGGAATAGGACTGACTGGCCATATTTTATTTTGCATTTCTATTCCCCATCCTCCCACCAAAAATCAGCTTTAACTAGATGCAACACGAAAGCTTTCAGGGAGGCAGCTTTTCAGAGCCACTCACCCAATACAATAAGCTTGTCTGGAAAGCCTTGCCAACGCTTCCATTTTGCCCGAGGGCTGTGCAAGCGCCCCCCAGGACAGAGCCCACCCCTCCTGCTAGGAGCCATCACCTCCCACAAACCTGCAGAGGGGACCACACCAAGACTGCAAAGCAGGCTTCGGGAAGTGGCTTAAGCTAGCTTTCACTAACACGAGCCCCTTTTTCTCTTTTGCGTTCAACTGCAATCATCTCTACAGGCTTCCTGACACCAGCAGAGGCCCATCAGAGACACAAATAGCATTTTTTAAATGGCTTTATTAAAGGCTACGAGTATAAAATATGACTAAGTTACAAGTCGTCAGTAAGAATTTATTATTTTTGAAAAGGTTAATTAAACAAAGGGAGACCCAAAGAAAGTGAGGCTGTTCCTGACATCCACATAGAGGGTGCGGCTCAGACAGGTGACGGACCCCCACTGTTCCCAGTGGGGCTGCACCCCCAAACCCAGGGGGCCAAGGGAGGGGCCCCCAGATGAAACAGAGGCTGGTTGCTGATTTCTTGGGGGAACTTTTGTAAAAATGAAGACGCTGAATCCTTGAGCTGAATCCCAGGTGCAGAGACCGGGGGGAGGTGGAGAATCCAAAATCATGCTCAGGCTTCTCCTGAAAAGTGTGTATTTTCTAAAAAATAAATATAAACTCCTGGATTTAGAAACTCCCTCCTGATGCATGGGAGGAAAAACATGGCAAATGCAGAGCTAAGAAACCATCTTTGCATAGACTTTGCCCAAGGTGCAGAGGAAGATCTGCCGGTCAGGCAGGATGAAGACCCACACACGAGCCTGTGTCCTCCGGGTCGTCCCTTCTTCAAAAAGCAGAGCAAAGCAATACAACTTGAGGACTCCCTCCAAGATTTCCTAATTTTTGATTTACATTTAATCTCAGGAGGCTATTCCATTAAGAAACATTGTTATTAGAGTTAACATTGCTAGGTGCTGGGCCCCAGTCGGTACTGAGTGAGGCAGAAGCTTTCAATAATATCCACAGCCCTCGGCACCAAGAAGAACTTGGAGAGAATATTGGGCTTTATGAGAAAGGGGGAAAGAAATTAGAATTTCTGGCCGGGTGTGGTGGCTTACGCCTGTAATCCCAGCACTTTGGGAGGCTGAGGTGGGCGGATCACGAGGTCAGGAGATTGAGACCATCCTGGCCAACATGGTGAAACCCCATCTCGACTAAAAAAAAAAAAAAAAAAAATTAGCCGGGCGTGGTGGTGGGCACCTGTAGTCCCAGCTACTCGGGAGGCTGAGGCAGGACAATGGTGTGAACCCAGGAGGTGGAGCTTGCAGTGAGCCGAGATTGCGCCACTGTACTCCAGCCTGGGTGACAGAGCGAGACTCTGTCTCAAAAAAAGAAAAAAAAAATCAGAATTTCTTCCAAGAGAAGAGGCAGATAACCTTGGCCTAGTGTCTAAGACACAGGTCTTTCTTCTGTGCTACAACAACACTACAGAATACAAACGCATACATATACATTTGCTACCATAGATTCTGCAACAGCCCCGTGCTCTCCAGGCAGAAGGTGGAGGCAGGTGGCCGCTGATTCTGAGGATCCCTGTGTGAACGGTGCCATTAGCCCCAAGGGGAGCTGGCGCCTGCTCAGGCTGTGCCAACTGGGATTTCTAAGCTCCTTTTCCCTCACCACCGTGCTGAAACCTTTTTTGCCTCACATATATCGACTATAATTAAATGGTACAGAAAGAACCATATTTGAAAAGTTACAGTAAATCACTGAAGGAGAAAGATAAAATACACCTCAAGGAGCCAAATGAGGTTTAGGGACATAAAGCAATTGGCAAGAACCAAACCAAATGTTGGCTATGCCACAGCTTTGGCAGAAACTTTCCTGGAGGCGATGAGGGGTTGAGGTGAGTTGCGATGTGCTTTATTTTGGAGCCAGATAAAATATTCTGGAAATCATTTCAGAAGGTCCTATGAAACACACATTTAAAAAAAAAAACACACACTTTGGTATTGAAACCAAGCGCTCACTGGCCGGGGTCGCCGAGATTAAGGCTTCAGGTGAGAACGCAGTGATGGCGACGTGGAGATGGCGCCATACCGGGCTTGAGGCTCTGCTTGGATGCCTCCTGCAGGTCACACAGCTCCAGGGCCACGGGGCAGGGCAGCCTGTGAGTGCAGCAGCTTCCCTAGGGGAGGTGGGCCACCTTGTACCACTGGGCAGCCTCGGCGTCTGCACCAGCTCCAAGAGATACTGCTGCTATGACACCACGCAGGTCTCCACGGGTGCTGCTGAGGTGATCGCGAACTCCACTCTTCTGCTTCCGGTGGTGGTCAGGGCTGGGGAAGGTCCGACATGATGCAGCCTGGCTAGCCCTTAGAAAAAGAATGCCCACTGCTCCTACCAGTCCCACGCTGGAAGACTTGAACACAACTAAGCAGAAGAGCCCTGTCCTCCAGCCACGCCTGCCATCTGCCCTGACTCCTGCAGGTGCCCAGTCCAGGGAACAACCAACAGGTCACATAAGCAACAAGAACTTCCAAGAGGAAACGGATACAAAACCAAAGAAAGTGGTAGCCCCACTGCTGATCATCTAGATACAAAATAATGAAAAGTTAATACAAAACTCTTTAAACATGCAACTCTTTTTAAAAACAACGATCCATACTCTGAATACGTATCAGGGCAGCTTGAAGACTACGCTGCCACATACCCACAGTCTGTTCCCTGGAAATGGCGTGAAAGTGGAGGGTGGCACATGATGTGAGAGACGTGGCTTCCGCCAGAGAAGTCCCGGACAGCTGCGAGCGCTGGCTAAGAAGGTCTCTGGGGGCCAATCTTTCCGGGGTCACGGCCAGCACGCTGATGTCATGGCTGATAACATGACCCTCAATCACCCCTCAAAAGGAACCCATATGTTAAAAAGGGGAGGGGGGAGGGGAAATAATGGAGAGGGAGATGGAAATCACTTTTACGATTTTTGTGACTTGGTGGAAATACATCCTTTGAGGAGGGGGAAAATTGGGTGGAGCTGGGAACAGAAGTTTTATTTACAAGATCTCCTGAATTATTAACAGACCTTAAAAATTCCAAATGTAAAACTTCTGTTATCAAATCACTGAAAATAGCATCTATATCTGGTTCTACCAAAAAAGAAAAAATCTGCAATATTGACCAGTTTCCAAATGATTAAGAAAAGAGTGTCAAGAAACCAGGAAAATACATAGGAAAAGGTGGCCCTTTTTATCCTCCTCCACCACACCACTTTGGAAAACATTTTAGGGTTCTTCATTGCATTTTTCTAATACATTTTACCAATTGTCCAGAAAATCAAATCCCGTCTTCAAGACGACATTACTTGAGCTGACCTGTAGAAGGGACAAAAACATGGAAGACAGACGTGAGCCTTTTTTTTTCAGTTATGCATAATCTAAAAACAGCATCTCATTTAAAACGACCCAGATAAAAGAGCCTACTTCTGTCTCAGAGGTTCCCTGACCTCCATTTATCTCAGTGCTTGAAATCAGAAGATTAAATAAAGTTCAATGCAATCTACGCTCTGCCGGCATCCAACACTAACCCCTCTTCAACCCCAGGCGCGTCTGGGAGCAGCTTACAGACCTTACAGAGAAAAGAACAATGTCTCTGTATTTTTCTATAAATCTTTTATGTTTCTGAATGACAGCCATGTTTAAATGTATTCATCCTAAATAAGAGAACAATTAATAAAGATATTCCTTCAAATATAAAACAAACATCACATGCAAACACAACAGAAAAGAACTTGCAAAGTTGAGAAAGTAAACAAAGCATGGAAAGAATGTGAAGCTTATTTCTTTCAGATCTTGTGAAAGGTTATGAGGTGATTTTCCCAAATTCCAGGCTCAGCCTCCGGGGCTCAACTGATCCTCTCGCCTCGGCCTCCCACATAGCTGGGACTACAGGCATGCACCAGGTGTGCACCACAAGGCCTGGTTTAATTTCATTCTTCTTTCAGGGGAAAGGGCTTGACTGACAGGTCCCCTCTTGTGAGCACAGGCTGTCTCAAGCTGCTGCTGTTTTCATAAACCTTCTGACTGGCTTCCACTCAGCAGCCCGTTTCCAATGTCCCTTTCCTCCAGCCTAACACCAGCAGACATTTACCTGGTGCGCTGAGGTCCTCTTGAGCAAAGAAACCTTGACTCTCCGCCCTCCAAGCGGCCGGCAGGCAGAAAATGCATACATGGCGGCAAGAGCAGGCAATGGCCTAAGGGGCTTGCCCTTGACACCTGTCTCAGGCCCAGTTTGGCTGCATGTGAGACTAGTGCAGAGTGAGGCAAAACATGCAGAATGGAAGAGGTGCAATCCAGTTTTCCTTATTCTGGTTTCCTTCCAGTTTCTTAAATGCAGTGGCATTTCACTGTGCTTTACTCTCAGAAATCTGTTCTCTCAAAAGAATTTCATGTGCTGTCTCCTACTCCACTGCCCACACAGAAACACGTTCCTGCTTCTCTTTAGAGTAGGGACTATCATCTATTTTATGGAAATCCATCCTTCAGAGGAAGCCCCCAGTGCAGAGTCTCAGAGAAGAGTGCTGGTTAGGGAGGCAGCGAACACAGCCTGTCTGTAAGGAGGAGCTGATGGGCAGGAGGATGTAGACAGAAAACAGAACGGAGAGATGGGCAGGTACTGGAGGAGGCAGGAAACGAGAGGGCTGAAAGCACTGGCTTAAGAAGGTGCAGAAACATGAAGAGGAGCACAGGTTGGAGCGCTGATGGGGAGCCGAGGTGGGGAGAAGGTACTAGCACTGCTGGATCCTCCCTCCTCAGGAGGACAGCACGTCCAGCCATCTGCCGAGGGAGGCATGGAAGTACTGGAAACCCGCTCTGGGTGACATTCAATGTTATCAGTGATGATCTCAACTCAACAACAAAATAACCAAAAATTTAAAAATGGGCAAGGGACCATTGGACAGTTCTCCAAAGAAGATACACAGATGGCCAATCAGCACATGAAATGAGGCTCAACACCACTCATGATCAGGGACAGGCAAGTCTAAACCACAGCGAGACACCACCTCAAACCCCTTCGCATGGCGCTAGCAAAGACACAGAAAATAACAAGTTTGCAAGGGAGTGGAGAAACTCGAACCCATGTTGATGGGAATGTAAAATGATGCAGCTGCTGTGGCGAATAGGATGCAGGTTCTTCAAAAAAGTAGAAATAGAACCACCATGTGATCCAGCAATTCCACATCTGGGTATGCACCCAGGAGAAGGGAAAGCGGGGGCTGGAAGACATATTCGTACATACGCGTTCACAGCAGCAGTATTCCTAATAGACCACAATAGCCAACCTAAGTGTCTGTCGACGGATGGGTGGATACACAAAATGTGGTCTAAGCACACAATGGAATATTAGCCTTAGAAGGAAATTCTACACATGCTACAAAATGAATGAACCTTGAAGACACCACACTAAGTAAAATAAGTCAGTCACGAAAGGGTAAATACTATATGGTGTTACTTATATGAGGTACCTAGAGGAGTCAAATTCACAGAAACAGAAAGTGGAATGGCGCTTGCTAGGAGCTTGCGGGGGAGGGAGGAACGGGATGTTGGTGTTGAACGGGTCCAGAGCTTTAGTTGTGCAGGCTGAAAGGAGTTCTGGAGATGGATGGTAGTGATGGTTACACAGCATTGAGAACGTACTCAAATGCCACCAAATTTATACTGTAAAATGGTTAAAATGGTAAATTTTATCATAATAATATTTTATATTAATATTTTATCATAATATTTATCATAATAAAAAAACTTTTAAAATTCAGTATGTGGAACCAGCCCAAATGCCCACCAATCAATGAGTGGATAAAGACACTGTGGTATATATATATATATGATGGAATACTACTCAGCCATAAAAAGGAATGAATTAATGGCATTTGCAGCAACCTGGATGGGATTGGAGACTATTATTCTAATAATAAGTGAAGTAACTTAGGAACGGAAAACCAAACATCATATGCTCTCACTCATAAGTGGGAGCCAAGCTATGAGGATGCGAAGGCATAGGAATGACACAATGGACTTTGGGGACTCGGGGAAAAGGTGGGAGAAGGGTGTGGGATAAAAGACTACAAACTGGGTTCAGTGTACACTGCTTGGGTGATGGGTGCACCAAAATCTCACAAATCACTACTAAAAAACTTATGTAACCAAATACCACTTGTTCCCCAAAAACCTATGGAAATAAAAAATCTTAAAAATAAAAAAAAAAGAATAGTAACCACAAGAACCAAGGAGTCTCAAGGGCCACAGGAGGCCGGGTGGGGCTAACATGGAGGAAACTGCATCCTGGGCTCACTCCTCAGCAAGGCAGCCAGGAGTCCAGCAAGGCCCACAGAGGGGCAAGACCCAGTATAGCCTCCCAAGTGTGCCTGCCCACCGTGCCAGCAGGCAGCTCCCCTGGCCCAAATCCTAAAGAACAGACCATTGCCTCTATGGATAGCTCCCAAAAAGAAGGCCTAACACAGCCTTGAGCTGTGACAGCCCTGGGCGTAGCACCTTCCGGGGGCCTCTTCTGATAGCAGCCCCCACACCCGGGAAAGCGCAGTGGGCCACAGAATCCACTAACTGGCACACAAATCAGGGCGCCCAGATCAACTCGCAAAACTTGTCTTGTTGCATATGTGTTGGTGGTTCAGCACGCTGAGCCTAGGCCTCCTCTGAGGAAGAGGCAGGGGAAGGAGGATGGAGGGGGGAGAGGAAAAAGAGCATGGGCACCTGTGGCCTGCCTGCTTTGTGGGGGACCCTCTCAGTCCCCATGGAAGAAGGTATAACCCTGCCTGAGAACACGTTAGTGCAGGCCACCCACCTGTGCAAACTTGGGTTCCAAGAACAGGGTGTCTTCCCCGTCGTCCTGCCTGATGTCAGGAGACGGCAGCTTCCCCTCGAGCTGGGAGGGGGCGGCCTCCTGCAGCGTGCTGCCGAAGGCCTGGACGGGCTGGGCTCTCTCGCGTTCGGTGCTCACGTTGGGAAGGGGACGCTGCTCCTGACGGAGGGTGCTGGGCCTTTCCATCTTGGCCTCCCTGTCCTTCGGGGCAGGTTCCTGCCGGGAGCAGGGAGGCAAGACCTTCTCCCCCTTCTCCATGGACTTGATCTGGCTAGGGGTCAGCGACTGGAACTCGGCCTCAGGCCCCTCCCCTCGGGACCTCTCGGCATTGATCTTCCAGAAGGATGCTTCCTCCTCCTTCCTGGTGGGGCCCAGGGCGTCCAGGCTGGAGGACCTGCTGCCTTGGGAGGACTTGAGGGCCTGGGAGCCCTGGGAAGCTTTGGACAGGGGTCTGGGCTCGCTGGCGGTGGTGCCGTTGCTCGGCTCCTGGATGGATAGGGCGGAGATACTGAACTCCATCTGACTCTAGGGTGGGATGTGAGAAAGGAGAGAAAAAAGAAAGTGATACTGAGAATCGACCATTACAGGTGTGCCAGCTCACGTACCCCCTCCTCAGCATGCGGACACATGCCAGCCACACACGAGTTGTTGCCCATGTGCTGGAACTGTCTGTCCTGAGTGGTGGGTATGGTCAGGACTTCCATTGCACACCTGAAATGCATCAGAAGCTTAAATGCCAAGGCCGGATGACAGAGTGTGGGTGGGGGTCCCCTCCCAAATCTCATGCTGAACTGTAATCCCCAGTGCTGGAGGTGGGGCCTGGTGGGAGGTGTCTGGATCATGTGGCGGATGCTGTCTTCATGAGAGTGAGTTCCCATGAGATCTGGTCATTTAAAAGAGTGTGGCACCTCCCCCTGCCTCTCTCCCTCTTGCTTCTGCTCTACCATTTGAGATACCTGCTCTCCTCTGCCTTCCACCATGAGCCACAGCCCCCTGAGGCCTCCTCAGAAGCCAAGCAGATGCCGAGGCCATGTTTCCTGTGCAGCCCGCTGAACTGTGAGCCAATTAAACTTCTTCTCTTTATCAACTACCCAGTCTCAGGCATTTCTTCAAAGCAACACAAGAACACACTAATACACCCCCTCATGCACTATGCTACATGCAGCTCAAGGCATCTGAGTATTACCGATGAGTAAGGGCTCTCTGCTTGGTAAACAGGGCACCCGCCTGTCTCCTCCAGCGTGGTTCTAGCACCTTCCTGGCAGGTGACAACCCTCACTGGGAGGATTATGAGGAAAGGTGCACACTGCAACAAAAGGCCACTCCGCAGCCAGGGTCAGAACCCAGCCTCAGATCACAAACACCCAGAGGGCAGGGCCCAGGACCCATCACAGCCCATGCCCCACATCTGAGCACCCACAAAATGCTTTCCTTGATCTGGATGCTGCTAACCACAGTGATCTCTAAAAATGATACTGCTGAGCTGTTTTGACCACCAAAATCATTACACGGCAACCTAAACCACCTCTTTGGAGTAGAATGTTGTCTTCCAAGCTCTGCAGAACAAGCCATTTGTAATCTCAATTATTTCTAAAATCAGTTTTGAAGACTTCTCTCTTCCCTCACCATTTCTACTCCCTCATACTTCCCTGCCTCTTTCTAAAATAAATTAATATGCCAGATGTGGTGACTCACGCCTGTAATCCTAGCACTTTGGGAGGCTAAGGATAGAAAATCGCTTGCGTCCAGTTCAAGACCAGCCTGGGCAACAAGTGAGACCCCTTCTCTGCTAAAATTTTTTTTTTAAAATTGCCATGGTGACACATGCCTGTGGTCCCCAGCTACTCAGTTGGCTGAGGTGGGAGGATTGCTTGAGCCTGGGAGGCCAAGGCTGCAGTGAGCCACAATTGCACCACTGCATTCCAGCCTGGGCAACAGAGCAAGATCCTGTCTCAAAAAATATATTAAAAATAGGCCGGGCACGATATGGCTCACGCCTGTAATCCCAGCACTTAGGGAGGCCGAGGCGGGTGGATCATCTGAGGTCAGGAGTTCGAGACCAGCCTGACCAACATGGAGAAACCCCGTCTCTACTAAAAATACAAAATTAGCCAGGCATGGTGGCGCATGCCTGTAATCCCAGCTACTCAGGAAGGCTGAGGCAGGAGAATCGCTTGAACCCAGGAGGCAGAGGTTGTGGTGAGCCAAGATTGCGCCATTGCACTCCAGCCTGTGCAACAAGAGTGAAACTCCATCTCAAATAAAAAAAAAGAAAGAAAAAAGAAAATATATACTAAAAATAAATAAACAAAAGTAATAAAACTACATGACAAAAAGTTTGGGAAATAGAAAAAAGAAGAAGAATCAGTCACAATCCTTCCCTCCTCCCATAATCACTACTGCTTTTTGTTATTTCTATGTAACCATTTTCATATATGTGTTTTATGAGGCTGTAGTTCTGCTGGGCATGTGATTTGGGGTATTGCTTTTCCACTTAATCATAAGCATCATCCATGTTGTTTATAGTCATTATAACCATTATTTTTAATGGCTGTAAAAATATTTCAGTAGCTGTCACACCACCTACTTAACCATTTTCTTATTATCAGACAATTTGCTATTTCTAGGCCTTATTGTTATAATTAAGGTTGCCATAAACATCTTCATGCATACAATCTCTTCCTCATTTGGGGTTAAATTTTTAGACAGATTTCTAGAAGTGAAATATCAAAATACAAACAATTTAAACCTTTCCTTTTTATGGTTTTGGATGCATACTATCAAATCTGCTTTCTAGCGGCTGCCCCAATTTCTAATGCCACCAGATGTACATCACAGTAGCATTTTCAGTCACTGAGTATAATAATTTGAAACTGCCTGTGCTAACTTAAGATACACAACATGGTTCTTCGTGCCTTTCATGCACAGTCTTTCACATAATCAATGGTCTGTTCAGTTCTTTAGGTCTCTGCAGACAGCAGCACTCTCCCAGGATTCTTGCCAACAGGCAGGGGCGTATTTGTCAGGGCACGGATGGAAATACTGCTTTTCCTGTGTGAACTGCAGGCCCTGAACAGAGAGAGCTGCACACGCTCTCTTGAGTCTGAGACTTCTAAAACCCCAGCTTCTGACGGCCAGACGTCTTCCCCCCAGGCTTGGGAGATGAGATCATGAGGCCATGAAGAATTCAACTTTAAAACGCAAGCCTAGGCTGCCCTGAAGCTCAATGTTATTGGAAAGAAAACCCAAGGGCCGGGCGCGGTGGCTCACGCCTGTAATCCCAGCACTTTGGGAGGCCGAGGCGGGCAGATCACGAGGTCAGAAGTTTGAGACCAGTCTGACCAACATGGTGAAACCCTGTCTCTACTAAAAATACAAAAATTAGGCGGGCATGGTATGCACGCCTGTAATCCCAGCCACTCAGGAGGCTGAGGCAGGAGAATCGCTTGAACTCAGGAGGCAGAGGTTGCAGTGAGCCAAGACCGTGCCACTGCACTCCAACCTGGGCAACAGCCATCAAAGCACTGGTTCTTCCAGGAGCTCTGGTTAAAGACAATGTAGATTACTCAGTCAGTGGCCTGATGTGTCAGGAATGTTGTTTCTAAATTATTATTATTTTCATTCTACAAATGAGAAAATGGAGAATTGTCCTAGGTCACCAGCCCAATGGGAGATCGGCAGCTGGGATTTCAACCTGGATTGAGAGATTCCAAGCCTGAATCCATGGCTGGGCATCCTGCATTACAAAATAACACCAGGTACGACACCCATGGAAGCCACCAGGAGCAGTGGACACAGTAGGATTTCTTTATGTATGTGTGTGATCTAATTTGATTTTAAAGGACTGTTTCTGAGTGATGCATTCTGAATACTCTGCGTATTTCCAAATTCCACAACAGAATACAGAAAAACTTTGGGATAGAGATGACGGTTTCTTGAAATAGGCGAATCACTAAAAATGGCTCAGAAGTGGGGCCCAGCTCAGGGGACAGAGTTGACTTTGATCTGGAAATTGTAGTGTAAGGACAGCACTTAAAACTGAGCACTTCATCAAACCCCAGGCTTTTTTAGGATCAGCAATTTCTCCCATGGGTGTCTTTGCTCAGAAGCCTCTAGAAGGTGAGACAGAACTTCCTGTGTACGTGGAGGGCAGCAGTGGGCAGAGCCAGGGATGCTGGGGGGAGACGCCCATCACAGTGGTTCCTGGGCTGCTGCAGGGGTGCTGCGGGAAGGGAACCAGGCAGCACTTAGCTGGGTGTGACCTCCTCAAACAGAATGACAGAGGTTGCTCCCATCCCTGCTTGGGTAACAGGAGACCTGGAAACCTGGCAACAGCTCTTCAGAGGAGGGTGTCATCTGGCTAGAGGAGACGGCTTTGCTGGCAGAAGCAGCTACCTAGTTTAGGGGGTCTGGAGGTGACTATGGGGAAGACAAGAACTTAGAGAAGAAAAAAGTTCCAATGCATTTGCTTCTAAGTCTTTTTCCCTATGTATGTGTATGCTGTTCATAATTTTGCAAATAACGTATAACCACAATCTCCTTTAACAAAACAGCCCTGATGATCTCATGAGGACAGGGAGTAGAAGAAATAGATACTGCAGGCTAGGAAGGGTGCGTGGGTAGGAAGGGGATGAAGAGAGGTTGGTTAAGGAGATAGAAGGAGTAAGCGTTTGCTCTAGTGTTCAATAGCAGAGAGGGGTGACTATAGTGAAGTGTGCTGTGTATTTTGAAATAGCTATAAGAGAGGATGTAAAATGCTCCCAACACACAGAAATGATAAATACTCGAAGTGATGGATGCCCCAAATTCCCCAATGTGAACATACAGTCTATGATTTCACGAAATATCACATGTACCCCATCAATATTTCAAACAACTATATATCAAAAAAAAAAAAAAAAAACCTGCCCTCATCCATCACCCTGCTGGGTGCTAGGCCTCTTCCCCACTGCTTTCCCCAAAGGAAACGGGTTTGTCATCTAGAATTTCTAGACACAAACCTCTTGGGGTAGGGGAAGAATCTTTTTTCCTGTCTAGATCAACTCTGCTCAGCTCTAAAAACTCCAGGAACTATAATAAAAACAGACTCTAGCAGGGCCAGGTGGGGGCCCCAGGGAGACGAAGCCCATCTCTCAGGTACTGCAGCCCATCCCGCCCAGGGACCTCATTCTACCCGGGCGGGACCTGTCCTGGTGTCTGTGCACGCAGCACCAGGACAGAGCGAAAAGTGGCTCCAAGCTCATTTTCAAAGACACATCGACATGCAGGCCACAGGAAGGCAGAGCCCCTTTTGCCATTTCAAAGTAAGTTTTACTGCTTTTTGTTTCGGTGACTCCACACTGTTGGCCGTTCCCCGTCTTCCAGTCCAGGGCACGTCCTAGACTTTCCTAGAACAAAAATCCGTTTTCTACAGGTGTGGAAAGAGCTGGGCTCTTGAGAAAGGAGGTCATGTCAGCCCTCTCCCACGGCACTGAGCAACAGGGAGCCAGGGCTGGTGGGAGGATGAGGCTCATAAAGGGGAGGAA